TTGCCATGCCCCGCGCCTGGCCGGCTCGGCCCGACCCGCGGAAATTATGAAACTGCAGATTTCATGTAACAACTTGGTGGCACCAGGGGGGGAAGTACAGTCACCTAATAAGTTGCCGGCGCCCGCGCCCCCATTGGCCGCGCGTGTCACGTGTCCGCTCGGCAGAACAATAACGCGTAAATCACTCCGCACGCTATTAATGGCCTGGTGTTTTGCAGTCATAATTTTTATAGCAAAAGCCATATGTTTTTATGCAAAGGGATCGCGCCGTTCCACGATCGAGTTTGTTTTAATTGTGGCCAACGAAGATTAAAAGATCAAATTTGGCTTTGCCTCTGGACGCTCCCCTGCCCCCCCACCAGACACACTTCTTAAGCGGACTATTTTATATCATAATTAATCACGCCATCAGGAAGGCGCGGGTCCCGCGTGCGAGTGCAGCCAACAGAGCCCCTCACATAAAATTAGACAATAATTGAAGCCATAAAAAAGCAGCCAAATCGCATTCTCGCTCTACTGTATTTAAATCTATATTTATGATATTTCATAAGGAGTTATTGTTTCAGAAGCCACACAGGCTGGTGGGAAGTCAGGATCGACCAACAGATTCTTTTGCCTTTGCCGTGGCTTCCAGCTGTAAAAATTTACGAGGGCTTGGAAGGACTAAATTAGACTGTTGTGTTTGGTTGGCGAACTCCCTGTAAATAATCCCTCCGGTCCTCTGAAGATGCACCAGTTTCCCCCTCCGCCGGCCACGGAAAGTCAAATTCAACGCAATATCCAACCCAAAGTAGCCACCTTCCTTGCCAGAGCACAGGGTGGACTGGCCACCGACGGGGTCCCACCTAGTGTGAGCCCCAAAGCCTGCAGTGCTAGAGAGTGGGGCACCCAGACAAGCCTGAAGGTCGCCCTTGTCTCTCAAGTGAGGGCGATGCTGAGGACCTGGAACGGAGGGAGCAGCCAGCTACCCTCAGCGGAAAGGGTTTGAGAATCTGGTTGTGCCCCGCGCTAGGTCCTGGCCCACAGACTCGCCTGGCACATCTTGCTCCTGCTCATCTGGGATTCACCATCCCTGGGCAGAGGCGGCTTGGTGACATGCATCCTTGGAGGCCCTAATGCTGAAGCCTGCAAGCCTCCTCACGTTGTTGGAACCCAAGCTGGTAAACAAAACAAAACAAAACAAAACAAAAAAAACCACCAGGCATAATCAACGGAACGTGAATTCTACTTTCTAAAAGTCAGCCCCTGCCTAAGACAGCCTGCGGTTCCAGGGGCTGGGGAGCCCTGACTGGAGCTGCAGGTCCAGGGCCCAGGGTTAGCCCTTCAGGGATCCTTGGATCACAGCTTGCCCGGGGCCTGTCTTGGTTATCCAGGAAACGGAGCAATTCTACAGTTAAAAAGGCCCAAAGCGAGGCTGCTCAAGTCCAGGGGTAAAAATTAAAGCAGGGAGGGGCAGGGGGCATTGACTTTAATCCCATGCTTTGGTCTGGCCAAATTGGGGTGATTATTTCTCACCCCTTAGTCTTGAGAGTGAGAGCAAATGAAAAGACTGCAGCCACTTTTGTTAATTGGAGGGGGGGGACACCCCAATTCCAAACAGAATGCCCCAAGTCCTAGAAACGGGGTAATTAAATTCACGTGTCAATACTGTGCCTGCAAGTGTGTGTTTCTCATTAGTCCACTTTCCTGCCTGCTAGGCTCAGTCATCTCCATCTCTCTCTCCTTTTGCCTTCATTCTCACCAATAGCTCAAATAATCCCTCCTTCCAAACACCCTGGCATATTCCTATTCCGGGCTGCGGCGGCGACCCCAAAACGTTGGTCTCTACCCGAGAGAGGCTGCAAAGCTACTTGGGTACTGTAGGGAGCCCCTTCCGCCGCCTGTGCGTCTTGCGCCCGCGCCGAGGAGAGGCAAGCGGCCGACACAATGAACTCCGACGTGGCCTGTCCTGGCTGCCTCAGCCCCCTCCCCCCTAATATTTTTCTTTCCCGGTAAATTCCTCCGAATCAACCCCACCCCCACGGTAGCCCAAGGTGTCTGGCAATCCGCAGGGACTCTGAGATTTTCATTTAAAAAATAAACCCTGGAAGAACACTTTGCTCTTAGTTGTGATTGTAAACGGCAAGCCAAGCACGCCTGCCTGCTTGTTCCACTTTTTGTACCCAGAGAAAACACCGCTTAGTTTTAGTATTTTTAAAATACAAAGACAATCCCTTTAAATAGCCCTAGTCCCCAAATAAAATAGGAACATTGTCAAATAATTAACAGACATTGAGTGTTAAGCAGCTGTTATTGTTATGTAGAAACGGGGGAAATTTCACCAATCCAAATATCATCCCTCTGGAACCAAGAGATTTGGAGCCAGAGCATTCAGACTTTTGTGCCTGCTTTTATTTTGAAAGTGAAAGGGATTGAACATGCATAAAGAAACAATAAATGATGTAATTGCAAGCCACCCTTCTCCACTAAGAGTTTTCTCAAAACTTTGATCTCTAAAATAAGCTCAATACTCTGGTCCGGAAAATGGCACAGAAGAGTCAAAGGGAACCGGGTGTGCCGGACTTTCAGATAACAGGTTGGCGGGCTGAGCAACGAAAACAATTACCAGCCCCCAGCCTGAGCTGGGAAGGGAAGCGCAGCTCTGCCGGCAAAAGTCAGAAGGCAAGTCTATGCATATGTTGGGGGAAGGGGCGGATAGTTTGTTTTCAGTTTTCGGTATTTAAAAATAAGCTGGCTTCCACCAGTACATTGCAACTTTGAACAAGGACTCAAGTTTGTATCCCAATGACTCTGGAATTTAGAGTTTCCTTCACTTATTTGAAATACTGGCTCTTGGAAGGGTCCCTTCCTGTGGCACACAACTGTACGAGATGGCCATATCCAACATGCTGGAACCTGATGCCACTGCCAAGCACTCAGTCAAGCTTGGCCTTTTCAAGGCTCCTTTATTGCGATCAAAACCTCAGTAAGGACTGGCAGGCCTGACAGAGCATACAAGCTTTCAGGCAGAGCTCCCTGAGTAGCCAGGCTCGCTCCACAGAGCGAGGCTGGGCCTCGGTCCTTGTTTCCAGTACGCTGAGGAAGTCTCCCTGCCCTCGGCAGGGGCACACAAAGACGCCGCGGGTGCCCCCAATCCGGTCTCCCAGACAGCCATAAGCGACCCGCGGAGAAGGAACGCAAGGCCGCCGCCATCCGGTCGTGATCGTAACCGAGGCCTTGTTTGCATAGAGACACACCAGGCCAAAGCCCACGGTCCTGGACAGCCGGCCCACGGAGATCCTCCATCGGCAGACCCAGACTTTTACATGAACTCCAAGATTAAAAGGAGACCATCTGACTTTCCCTATGCCGGCCTCTTCCCCTTCCGATAGGGTGATCTGGAAAGGGGAGAGAGAGAGATCTAGAAAGAGTCCGGAAAGAGACAAAAGATGAAAGAAAAGCAGAGAAAAAAGGAAGCAAAAAAGAAGGAAGGGGCAAAGAAAGAAAGGATAAAAGAGAAAAGGAGGAAGGAAGAAAAGAGAGGAGAGTCCCAGGAGCAGAAGGCGCGCTTGCAGAGAGAAGGGTGACAAAGCCAGGATCCCAGTCCCTCTCTGCCCTGTCCCTCCCATCAAGGCCTAGGTCTTCACAGTCAAAGGGACCTTTCCTGAACTCACACCCCAAATTGGAGCGTGTATTGCTCCAGCCTTGCTGAAGAATGGCAGGGATGCCGGCCTGGCGCAGGACTACAGTGGGGAAGCTCCTTGATGGGAGCTAGCGCCCCTGACCTTGAATGGCCCGGGGCGCAGAATTCTTACCACGCCCCCGGCGGCGCTCGCGGAGGAGCAGTTAACCTGACTGTACCTGCACCCTGCCCTGCGGGGGGAGGGGAAGGCCCCCTGGCTGGCACAGTGCTGAGAGGTTCCTGCATAGGGAGAACCGAGGTTGCCATCGCAGATCTGGCACGACCGGGGCTTTGATGCCCCGCCCGGCCCGGCCCCCGCGCGCACAGGTACCTGGAGACGATTTCAACTGAAGTAATGAAGGCAGTGTCGTGCTGTCGAGAGAAAGGTGGATCCCAACAACAGGAAACTACCTAAATCACCGACCAGTTCTGGTGCTGCTCGCGCGGGGCTGCCTCGCCCGCAGCAACCTGAGCCCGCCGCTGCCACCGAATGCCTCAGGCCTCCGCCAACCCGTCAGGAAGGGAGAAACCACGGGTCCCCAGGAAGGTAAGCCTAGGAGAGCGAGAGAGCAGGAGAGAAGGAGGGAAGGCAAAAGAGAAAAAGGGAAGAGGGGAGTAGGCGAGAAGAGGGCGGAGAACGAGCAGCGTGCCGGTTCCTCAGACCTTGCAGCGATCTAGCGAACCCACGCGGAGCAGCGGCGGCCTTGGGAGACTCAAAAGCGCCAGGGACATCGCCGAGCCGGGTTCTCTGGCCGCGGCCTCCGGCTCTCGCTCCCCGCGGCCACTCGCACCCCCCTCTCCCTCCTCGCCGGCG